GACAGACTGTCTACAAATGGAGAAAGTTTAGCACTGTTGCTACTCTCCCTAGGCGTGGTCGTCCTGTAAAAATGACTGCAAGAGCACAGCGCAGAATGCTGCATGAGGTAAAGAAGAATCCCAGAGTGTCAGCTAAAGACCTACAGAAATATTTGGCACATGCTAACATTTTTGTTGACACATCTACAATAAGGAAAACATTAAACAAGAATGGAGTACATGGGAGGATACCACAGAGGAAGCCATTGCTGTCCAAAAAGAATATTGCAGCACGTTTGAAGTTTGCAAAAGAGCACCTGGATGTTCCACAGCACTACTGGCAAAAATATACTGTGGACAGATGAAACCAAGATTGAGTTGTTTGTGAAGAACACACAACACTATGTGTGGAGAAAAAAAAGGCACAGCACACCAACATCAAAACCTCATCCCCACTGTAAAACATGGCGGAGGGAGCATCATGGTTTGGGGCTGCTTTGCTGCCTCAGGGCCTGGACGGATTGTTGTCATTGATGGGAAAATGAATTCCAGAGTTTATCAAGACATTTTGCAGGAAAACGTACGACCATCTGTCCGCCAACTGAAGCTCCGCAGAGGATGGGTGATGCAACAGGACAATGACCCAAAGCATACAAGTCATTCAACAAAACAATGGCTGCAACAGCACAGAATACGCCTTCTGGAGTGGCCCAGTCAGAGTCCTGACCTCAACCCCATTGAAATGCTGTGGCATGACCTTAAGAGAGCGATTCACACCAGACATCCCAAGAATATTGCTACACTGAAACAGTTTTGTGAAGAGGAGTGATCCAAAATGACTCCAGATCGTTGTGCAGGTCTGATCTGCAACTACAGGAAACGTTTGGTTGAGGTTATTGCTGCCAAAGGAGGGTCAACCAGTTATTAGGTCCAAAGGTTCACATACTTTTTCCTCCCTGCACTGTGAATGTTTACATGTTATGTGCAATTAAACCATGGTAACCTCTAATGTTTGTGTAGTATTATGTTCAGCAGACTGTGTTCTTCTATTGTTGTGACTTAGATGACATTCAGAGCACATTTTATGCCCAATTCATGCAAAACTCCACGTAATTCCAAGGGGTTCACATACTTTTTCTTGCAACTGTATATATATCGGTTGCCCTATCACAGTGCCACTATAGATCAGTTGCCCCATCAGTGTCCCTATAGATTAGTTGCTCCCATCACAGTTGCTCCATAGGTCAGTTGTCCCATCACACTACCCCCATAGATTGGTTGCCCCATCAGAGTACATATATAGATCAATTGCCCCATCACAGTGTTCCCATAATTTAGTTACCCCTCATCACAGTGTCTGAGAGATCAGTTGCCCTATCACAGTGCTTCCAGAAATTAGTTGCCCTATCAAAATGCCCCATAGATTTTTAAGTTTAAATGATGTTATTAGCTTTTCTTCATTTGTGTAAAATAATGACTCTTACTGTAATTATGCTCTCTCGTTATTTAGACATCTGTTTTGGTTTCCCTTCCCTGGTACTGTATGGGTCATACAAGATATTTTCACACTAAACGGTTTGTTCTTGTTCATGATAGGTAAGGGTGGTGAGCAGGGGTGGACTGACAACTCATGGGGCCCCCGGGCAATAGGGGATCATGGGGCCCCTGTGTCCTTGCCCAAACTCAAAAAAGCCTATGAAAAAGGTACCAGGGGCATCTCATGGGGCCCCCTACTGACCCTGGGTCCTCGGGCAGTGCTCGAGTTTCCAAATAGTCAGTCCGCCCCTGGTGGTGAGATATGTACAAATATTTATATGTATGGTTGCAGTTTCTTCCATGAGGCGATGTCGGCCATGTGGGAATCGCCTGGATGCCGGCTGGCATTCCAGATGATGATTAATGGGCCAATTAGAGAGGGGGATTTTTAAGGCGTTAGAGCTTGCATAGCATTAATGCTTTCCTGTTATCATCTGGAGATTTTAATGTTGTTTGTCAGGAAACTATATGACCCTACAGGGATGTAAAGGTTAGAGTGTCTTCTAGTTTTTGCAATGTTGAGCTAATTTTAGCTCTGATTTTGTAGTTTCGGGGACTTTTTTGGTCTTGTGGGCGAGTAAATACAGCAATCTTCTATCATCTGCTGCATGGACTCGCTCTGCATATAATTTTGGCTTACTATAGCATTGCCACTTTAGTCTCTTATTTAATGGAGGTACAGTAGAACTTATTTTTTGGTTGTCTGTTGAAACAAATCGAGAGCTTTTTGATGGCTGAGGTTTTACATATTGTTTTTTTTTGTTATTACAGGAAGCTATATGTGCTAATTGAGGAGTATACTTTTACTAATTATGTTCTTCTGAACCAGAGATTATCTGCAGATGTTGAATCATTGGGAAGTTCCATCCAAACCTCTTTCTGGGTCATACATTTATGGTAAATATGTAAGCTTATGTATGGGGGATGTTTATGTTATAATTGGTCTATTTGCTTCTTCGTTTTATTTTCTTTCTTTAGTAATAATTGCCTTATATAACCTTGTATGCGAAAGCTCACTATTTTGGTGGCTCACAAATGAAAGTATATTAGGTTTTATAAACAATTTAATTATTTCTAGAGTTATATTTGGGTAGTATATTTGTTTTATATCCTGCTTAAAAAGTGATATAATGGAGACGAGGGAGTATTGGTTTGTTTTTGGTTGCCATGTGAGCAGGGCTGTGGATAAGGGGGTACCACTAGTCCTCCTGTGCGGGGCCCAGGCCAGCAGGGGGGCCCAGGCAGCTGGGTGAATTGGATGTGGGCAGGGAAGGTGATTGGTACAGTGGCAGAGCAATTACTGGAACTGATCCTCTGTATGGCTCTCTATGCAGCACCTGAAAGCTGGCTTCTTCTTCTCTCCCTTCCGCTGGCTTTCAGCTGCTGCAGAGAGATACATGCAGGGGATCGGTTCCAGCAATTACCTCCCCACCGCACCCTTCACAATCCCTGTGCACCATACATTTCCCCCTGCTGTCCTGGCCCCCCTGTGTGCCCCTACTTTTGGCTTCCCTCCTCTCCTTCCCACCATCAGCAGCTGCAAGCACACAATAGGACCCTTCAGGATGGAGAGTGGGGTAACGGTCTGGTAAATATGCCATATTTCTCAGCCCCTTTCTTTCCTGAATGTACACAATGAGTGATTGGTACCGACCACTCACTGTGTTCATAAATTAATCCTAGTAAACTGTGTTTTTTTTGGGGGGCCCTGTCAGGTTGGCTTTATGGGGCCCTATGGTTTCTAACAGCAGCCCTGCATGTGTGCCCCCCCACCCCGTATTGATTGCCACCTGTAGCTCCTCTCTCTATCCCCATTCATTTGGAGTGATACCTCATTTGGAAGATATTGGAATATTGCACAATTTTGCACATTTATTATTATTTTTTTTCTATTTATATGATTCTGTGAATAGTACTATATATATCATGGGCTCCTGTAAAGTGGATAATGTCCATGAAACTCGTCGGGGGCCATATGGATTCAACACTCACAGGGCTTAAAATTTCAAGTCTAGACCTACTTGCCAGGCAAAAACCTTACTCTCCACCAGTTGCCCCACCAAACCTTGCCCAGGTCCGCGGCCACGGCAGTGGAGAGCAGGCCTCTCCTTGTGTCTCCCTCAGCGGAGGAGAGCTGACTTCTCCTGCACCTGTCCCCTCAGCAGCACTTCCAGTGTAATGACGGTGCCGAAGAAAAAGCCGGAAGTCAGAAACCGGAAGTCGGCTTCAAAACGAGGCTTGGAGCACAAATGGAACACAAATCGATCCCCGGGGTCTGGGGATCACATTCCAAGCTACCCGCTCCATCAATAAATGTGCAGGGCATTACTGTGCTCGCCAGAAAGGAAATTCCCCTCGCATTTGGCGAGTGAGCGAGCTGAATTTTCAAGCCCTGCTCTATGATATGAAAGTACTAATTGATCAGTACTTGATTTTAAAGTTTGTATTTTGATACTTTATACATTTATATACATTGTAATGAAATATATATTATTTTATGAATTTTTTTAATAAAAGAGAATTTTATGTAACATAGTGTGCCTCCAAAGTCCCAAACAGCATTTTTGCTTCTATTTTTCCTAAACTTTTGTATGTAGGGGCGTGGTACTAATTTTCTTGTTTTTTGAATTTGCTAATGCCATAGAAACTGATCCTTACCTAACAGCTCATTAGTCTTTAATGAAAGCTGGCCAACACTGACAGTTAGGTGCCAGGTACTTTGTAGACACTTCTAGGGGTACCCCTTAGTCAGGAATGCAAAAGCCCAACTGCTATTGGGGCTATATGCGTAGAATGCACTTAGGAACATTGTTTGAGTAGTTATTACTTTCATGGTTGATGGTATTCTTGCTGATACTGTGTGGCCATCATAGTGGGGCTTAGCCTTGTTGCGGCGTATGTCAATGGCCGTAGGTGAAATTAACAAATTTTATGGACCTGTTTCTACACATTGTATTTGCTTACTCTTCAATAATATCTTCACCTTATTGATCCTTAAGTTGCTTGTGGTCTATTTTCTGTGTACTATCATAGAGAAGTAGAACATTAATGCTTCAGTTATACTGGTGTGAGTAAACCTATAACCAGGTGAGTCACTGAAGACCGAGCAGCTTCAAGAGTCACAGCACAGAACAGAGGACCCAAGAAACGAAGTGGCTCCCGCAGGGGTTACGCTACAAATGCTTTAAAGTAAAAAATGTCCTGCCTTTAGAACCACTTTAGGCCGTCCATATGCTGTATGATTGTACAATTTATAGACAATGTCCTTTAACTGTACCAAAACCATATAATAATGACCAACATAAACAATCCATTTATTTAGTATCCTATAAGCTAGACCTTTGTACTATATAGTTGATGATAGATCCAAAGGAGTTTGTACAATTAGATTGTATAGTGTATGACCATTTTTAGCAGCACACAAATAGATCATTCAGTTTGGCTGCAGAAGTTGCTGGAGAGATCCAGGGGCGGACTGACAACTCATGGGGCCCCCGGACAATAGGGGATCATGGGGCCCCTGTGTCCTTGTCCACACTCAAAGCACACCTAAAAAAACCTATAAAAAGGTACCAGGGGCATTTCATGGGGACCCTACTGACCCTGGGCCCTCGAGTTTTCAAATGGTCAGTCCGCCCCTGGAGAGATCTCACCACTAGTGAAATATTTCATGCATGACTATAACATCAGTTTTGGTTGGGTCTGTCCTTTAAATAAATGAGCATCACTCGATATTCTGTTTGGTGTTGATTATTGGCCATTTAGCACCTGGCTGTGTATGTGTAAAAAAGTTTATAAAATTACTGCTTTCTGCCAAATGAACAAACTCACAAAACTGACTATTACTGATGGGGAAACATCCCTGCCGGTCCATCTGTTCTTGGCTGATAAAAGTGATGGCAAAGCTCCAAGGCATGTGCTCTAGTTTATAAATTAGAGACATCAGTCAGATGAAACCGATAATAATTAAATGGGCCAGTCCTTACAAGACTGTTATTTCCCTTACAGATGGACTCTACAAGACCCACTGACTCCCCGATTGCTTTTATCTGAATGTGAGGTCAATTGGCATAATATTCTCATTCGGACGCTTACTGTGGGGGTTCACTAAGTACATTCAAGACTGAATATTATGTACTAGCCTTTTCTTTTAAGGAGGAGGAACCCTTGAAATACATTTCTGGTCTCAAGGAACTAACTGGTAATAATTATTATATCTACAGAACATCATACAGAGTAATGCTCACAGGGGAGATTGCTCATACATTTGTGGTCATTGGAAATACAGATAGTCAAAAAGATCAATGGTGTCGGTGGTTAATTATCTGAGAGACAGAATTTGCTCATTGCTCAGGGAACCCCTAGCAACCTCTGGAGAAGCCATTCTCAACCAGGGTTTTGTTGAATCCTGGGGTTCCTCCAGAGGCTGCTAGGGGTTCCTTGAGCTATGGCCAGCTGATCTCCCATTTGATGATGTCTGCATAGTTTGAGGGTTAACACCACCTGGCAACATCATAAACATGACATTAATGATCTTTGTAGCTGTCTGTAAGGATGACTACAATGTAAGGAGGGCATCTTCACACTGATAAATGACCTCTGATAAATTGATTTTAGTAGGGCTTCCCTGAGACCTAAACATTATTTTGAGAGTTCCTCTGGGGTAAAAACATTGGGAAAGTCTGCTCTGGAGGAATACTAGGAATCTATGGAATCCTGGCTGAGAAAGGATGTTATATATACTAATTCTGGGGACTTCTTTGGAACTTTTTGCTTATGAAAAAACTTTGGAGATCTGTGTGACCCAGTTTGGTATCCCAAAGCAGCCATTCTCAACCAGGTTTCTGTGAAACCCTAGAATTCCTTCAGTGGTTGTTAGAGGTTCCTTGAGCTGTGGCTAATTGACTTCCATTTTGATGGTGCCTGCATAGTTCCAAGGTCAATGCCACTTGACAGAATTAATTACATGGGACCAGTGATTTTTTTAAAACTCTAAGGGTGGCATTTTGACCACCATTGTAAGGGGGCATTCTTCCCACTGACTCCCAATAAATTGGTTTTCAGTCCCTGCGTACTGAAAATTATTTAAAGGGTTCCTCTAAGGTAAAAAGGTTGAGAAAGGCTGTCCTTAAGGATTATAATATAATAGCTCTTTCCTTATCAACAATCTCAACCACTCCAAAATCACACCTCCTACAGTGAATAAACTAATATAAACATAAAAAAAATATATATAATATATAAAATATAAAATAAAGTCCCAAATATCTCTGAAAATTTCAAATCACTTTCTTTTCCACCTCCACATCATCTCTTGTAATACTGTATACGATATTCCAAATATAGTGATCCAACGTTGAAAAACCTCGAAAAATATAAACTAAAGATAGTGCATTACCTTAATAAATTCACACTTGTGCAAAAATATGTGTCATGCACATTACATAACAAGTGTCAGAACAGTGCAAAAAAAAAAAAAAAAAGTTTTGTAACCACTAAAGATAATAATAAATATATATAAAAATGAATACTTATTCACACGTGAACATACGTGAACACTCACTCCAAAATATAATAAGTGTGTTCACTACTAATTTTGACAGTAAACTCAAACACTGCAAACAATACTAATAAACAAAACAACCAGACGTGAATCCCAAATACTGTCACAAAGGTGAACACTCCAACTTGGTGCAGCAAATGAACAATTACCCTATAGAGGTAATAATCCGCTCTTCACAATAGTAGATGCTGGCACCTCCAAGCTTCTTATAACTCCTTTAGGCGTGCTTCCATATCCCTCATAAGGCAAATCAAATGTTAGAGGCTTTGTAGTATAAAGTATAATACTTTATTGAAGAACTTACATTAAAACTCCAGCTTCCAGCTTCTGAGGTATATAATCAGGCAGTATCCTGGCAGAAACAGCATGTGCCCTAAACAAAGATGGCCGCAATCGTACTTCCGTTAAAACGTAATTGCATCATACGTCACATGTCCTGACGCGTTTCGTCACATCCTGGACTTTATCATCAAAGTCCTTAAGGATTCTCATTTCTGATATCCACAGTGAACATTTGTTTTTTTCAGTAGGATTTATGTTGCAGCAACTGTTCTTGTTCATTTCTTACAAGTTATTATATGCAAATAGTTGCTTAACTAGATTCTCACCTACTTGGCGATATCATATATTCCTTGAGAGGAAGCAATGGATCTGTAATTACCTGATAACTGATTGTTCAAGATGCATACTCATTTGTGGACTTGGTTTGATATGGACTACAAACTCCCTTGCATTTCAATGTGTATCTATCATATCCATCACCCAAATAGTGCAGTGCTTCCATTAAAATTCTAATCAATGATATTATATGCAAATAAATACAAATAGTGAACAGTTCAGAAGAAATGTATACTTGTGCATAGTGACACCTAATCAGCAAAAATATAAATTCAAATGGTAAACATAAAGTCCAAATAAAAGTCCCATACACAATCCAATAATCATGCAATCCTAGATAAGCGATTCTCTTCCCAGGAGATGATCTTCACCTTAATCACACCACAGTGCCCTTCACCACACCTCATGGGTGTCCTCTCACCTTCTCTGCAGTACCTCACTGTGCTAGAGGAGGTCAGTTGCACTTTGGTAATACAGGGACACTGCTCCCGTCGATATTGCCACACACCACACGATCATCAAATTCTCAGCTCTAGAAGTAACATAAGGGAAGCAAGAAGTAGACCAAATAGTGCAGATTGCACTCAAATTTCAGAAGAAAACAATAGGCGCATATCTCATAGCATCACTCAGTATGGCATCCTGGCTCCAGCCAGCGAGATGACGTCACTGCCCGTCTGACACAGATCTGAAGATAAGAATGGGATCAGTCATTAAACGTGGTGGTTGTACCTAACATACTGTATATTCGAGTTTTTGCACTTTATTTGCACAATTTTCTGAATATTTTACTTTTTGGGTCCTGATTAAACTGCACAATAAATATACTGTATTTATGTGTATTATGTGGACAGGATAAGGGGAAGGGATGAGGAGTTTGGTTTTAATACTCATAGTCATGCATGTATATTTTCATACTGTTTTGTGGAATAAATGATCATTGGAGGGGAGATGGCTGGTGTTATTGTTGTATCTTTGTTACATAGCTTAGTATGCAGCAGTCTGTGGTTGTATTCGTTCTGTGTGGTTTGAAAAAAAGACCCAACATGTATATAGGGGAGAACAGCCTACCTGCTCAGAACTCCATCCAGGCATTGCTGCAGAGTCTTTCCACTGCCTAAAGAGAGCCTGTCACCAATCAAATACATGTCAGGTAAAACTATAGAAAAATAAAATGTTTTACATGCTTACTGGCAGTGTTTTGTCTTTCTATAACTTTTTACTAATGTGTCTTTGAACTAGAAAATGTGATTACTCCAGAAAAGTTCAAGCGGAGCTCAGGGTCGGACTGACAACTCATGGGGCCCCCGGGCAATAGGGAATCATGGGGCCCCGTGTCCTTGCCCAAACTCAAAAAAACCCTATGAAAAATGTACCAGGGGCATCTCATGGGGCCCCCTACTGACTCCGGGCCCTCGAGCAGTGCCCGAGTTTACTAATGGTCAGTCCGCCCCTGGCGGAGCTTCACTCTCTTAACCAACATTGGATATTTTTTAATTCCTTTACTGCTAGCATTAGTAGCAATACATAGGAAAACATATTATATTTACTTGTTTTAAACCTTTTTTTTACATTTCTTAAGTTACTTCCTGGTTTCTGGCATAGGCATTTGACATCGTACATCCCAGGTGCCTTTAGGAGGGAGGAGGGGTATTCTCAGCTAAGCACACCTTCCTGCTTACATGCCCAAACTAAGGGCAGATGGGTTCCAGGAGGTAAATGCTGCATGAATCATCTGCCCTTACTCAAAATGGCCACGACAAGAGATGCTAGGGAATGTGATATGACTAGAGATGAGCGAATCGAACCAGGCGAAGTGGAATTCGTTTCGAATTTCAGGAAAAATTCGATTCGTGCCGAATCCGAATATTAGCCAACTTCGGGTGCACGAATCGGATTTTTCCCGATCAGCCGGCAAAAGTGTCCCTGCAGAGAGCTCCGCTATTTCTGACAGTTCTCTGACAGTTCCTTCACATGTACAGCGGTTGAAACATTGTATCTATTTGTTTCCATTTAGGATACAGATGTTTTTATTCGGAAACAGATACAATGTTTCAACCGCTGTAAATGTGAAGGAACTGTCAGAGAACTGTCAGAAATAGCGGAGCTCTCTGCAGATACACTTTTTGCTGTACTGGAATACTTCTTCTTTTCATTCTTCTTTTTCATTCTCATTCTTCTCATTCTTCTTTCATTCTTCTTTTCATTCATTCTTCTCATTCTTCTTTTCATTCTTCTTTCTTCTTTTTTTTCATTCTTCTTTTCATTCTTCTCATTCTTCTTTTCATTCTTCTTCTTTTTTTCATTCTTCTTTTCATTCTTCTTCTTCTTCTTTTCATTCTTTTTCTTCTTCTTTTCATTCTTCTTTTCATTCTCATTCTTCTTCTTCATTCTTCTTTTCATTCTTCTCATTCTTCTTTTCATTCTTCTTCTTCTTCTTTTCATTCTTCTTCTTCTTCTTTTTCATTCTTCTTTTCATTCTTCTTCTTCTTCTTTTCATTCTTTCTTCTTCTTCTTTTCATTCTTCTTTCTTCTTCTTCTTTTCATTCTTCTTCTTCTTCTTTTCATTCTTCTCATTCTTCTTTTCATTCTTCTTTTCATTCTTCTTCTTCTTTTCATTCTTCTTCTTCTTCTTTTCATTCTTCTTCTTCATTCTTCTTTCTTCTTTTCATTCTTCTTCTTCTTTTCATTCTTCTTCTTCTTCTTCTTCATTCTTCTTTTCATTCTTTCTTCATCTTCTCATTCTTTTCATTCTTCTCATTTCTTCTTCTCATTCTCTTCTTCTCTTTTCATTCTTCTTTTCTTTTTCTTCTTCTTCTTCATTCTTTCATTCTTCTTTTCATTCTTCTTTTTCATTCTTCTTTTCATTCTTCTTTTCATTCTTCTTCTTCTTTTCATTCTTCTTCTTCTTTTCATTCTTCTTCTTCTTCTTCTTTTCTCATTCTTCTTTTCATTCTTCTTTTCATTCTTCTTCTTCTTTTCATTCTTCATTCTTCTTCTTTTCATTCTTCTTTTCATTCTTCTTCTTCTTCTTTTCATTCTTCTCATTCTTCTTCTCATTTTCTTCTTCATTCTTCTTCTCATTCTTCTTTTCATTCTTCTTCATTCTTCTTTTCATTCTTCTTCTTTTCATTCTTCTTTTCTTTTTTCATTCTTCTCATTCTTCTTTTCATTCTTCTTCTTCTTCTTTTCATTCTTCTTCTTCTTCTTTTCATTCTTCTTTTCATTCTTCTCATTCTTCTTTTTTCATTCTTCTCTTTTCATTCCTTCTTCTTTCTTCTTCTTTTCATTCTTCTTTTTCATTCTTCTTCTTCTTTTTTTCATTTCTTCTTCTTCTTTCTTTTTCTTCTCATTCTTCTTTTCATTCTTCTTCTTTTCATTCTTCTCATTCTTCTCATTCTTCTTTCTTCTTCTTTTCATTCTTCTTCTCATTCTTCTTTTCATTCTTCTTCTCATTCTTCTTTCTTCTTTTCATTCTTTCATTCTTCTTTCTTTTCATTCTTTTTTCATTCTTCTCATTCTTCTTCTTCTTCTTTCATTCTTCTTCTTCTTTTCATTCTTCTTTTCATTCTTCTTCTTTTCATTCTTCTTTTCTTCTTTTCATTCTTCTTTTCATTCTTCTTTTCATTCTTCTTCTTCTTTTCATTCTTCTTCTTCTTCTTCTTCATTCTTCTTTTCATTCTTCTTCTTCTTTTCATTTTCTTCTTTCTTTTCATTCTTCTTCTTCTTCTTCTTTTCATTCTTCTTCTTCTTCTTTTCATTCTTCTTCTTCTTCTTCTTCTTCTTCGTCGTGCCCCGTGACTGCCCAAATGAGTGAAGTGTGCGGTGATTCTAAGATCGACGGCACTCATCTGCATGTCATACTGACTGACAGTATTATTTCTCTTCCCCAGCAGACTCCAAGGGCATTTAAATTAAAGGTACACTGTTCTGCACTAATATAAAGGCTCTCTGAAGCCTAGAAACCCTTTAAATAAGTTAAATTTGCGGCGAATAAATTCGCATCGAATCAAATTTCTCCCGCAAATTCGGCGAATCAGCCGAATCGAATTTTTGAATAATTCGCTCATCTCTAGATATGACAACATCTGTCCACATTTGAGCTTGAAGTGACTTACTTGAGCACATGCGATACAACTATGTTTTAGGTGGAAAGGTAACTTTAAAAACTCTTAAATACTAGGAAAAAATGTAAATCTATGTCTTGCAAAGTGTTGCTAGAAAGTAAGGCACAGCAATACCATCAGATTAGTAAATGTAACTTATTCTTTTTAGAGACATTGCTGAGAAAAATGAAACAAAATAATATTGTATAATTTTTATAATGACAAAGTGAGGACATGTTGCCACCACATGGTGGGTGTGAGTATTGCACTTTAAAGTGAGCCCTAAGCAGGCTCCAACTGATGAATCTAACTAGTTGCCTGGTCATCATGCTGTTATACCAACCAACTTTCTTAGATGAGAAAGAGAGACTTTCAGGACAAAGTATGTAGAACCCACCCCCTGCCACGCATCCCCAATTTTATATATACAGCATATACTGTAAATATATATATATATATATATATATATATATATATATACTCTGCTCACTTTTAGGCGATCTCCAAAAACCTATCTCTTCAGGGAAGCCTATCTTGCCCTCAGCTAATAATGGAATCTTCTACTCTTCCAACTAGTCCATCCCCCACAGTTATTACCTTTTGTACCACTAGCCCCTCCCTCCTAGATTGTAAGCTCCAAGGAGCAGGGCCCTCCTATCCCTCTTGTATTGAACTGTTTTGTTGCTGTATTGTCTCCCGTTATATTGTAAAGTGCTGAGCAAACTGTTGGCGCTATACAAATCCTGTATAATAATAATAAAAATATATATAATATATATATATATATATATATATATATATATATATATACAGGGGCTATAGGCAGGCATTGCTTCCCCCTTTGAAAAGCACTGTAGCTGTCATTACTGCTCTGTTTAACCATTTTGCAGCTGGGCCAATTTTTAAAGTTATCCCTAATCTTCTGGGCTCTCAGGGAAACCACTGAACAGCATGATCAGCATTAAAGAATTCCCTCTGTGGACTACAGATCCCCCCACCCCATGTTATACAGATGGGGATTGGGGAGGTGTTCTGTAGCTCTAACACACTTCCTGTCCTATGGTGACAATGCTGTCCTGCCACAGAGACAGTGGGGGCAATCCTACGAAAGGATGTGTGTTATAAAGGAAAAATACCAAAAAAAAAAATATGCAACCACCACACCTAAGGACTGATAAACTGCAATATATCACAATTGTTTTTTTTGGTTGAGTTACGCTTTATATACATCAAAAGAGTCTTCTTTCTTTGTTGTGGTGGCTGAGTATAAATTGACTGGTACCCGCCCAATCTATTGTAATATAATGGTTGGTCGGGAGCTCCCTGATTTCGGGAGGACTTCATATGACCTCCTTCCAGTCGTGTGCTCTAGCAGCCACACTGTAGCTCGATTTGTCACCCGTTGCGTCCGCCGGCCCTGGGATCATGTGATTGCTGTTACCAATCATAACGATTACATAACAATTGTACACAATTAATTGCTTTCATTCATAGCTATTCATTGTGTACTATTGTGATGATCTCTGTAATTGATCACAGTGATCACATGGTACAGACAGGACCAATCACAGCGCACTGTACCATGTGATACCTGTGCCCAATAATAGCTATCCTAATAGTACATTATGGCTATGAATGGATGCCATTCACAAAACTGATTACTGCGATTAGCGATCATCACTGTCACAAGCAATTGTAGTGTTAAAAAAATGGTCACTAATTCAACACTGTAGTGCTCTGGTCGCAGTATGTAACAAACAAATTTAAGAAAAAGAAAAACAATTTTTTTTTTATTTAAAATTTTTTTATTCCTTTCACACACTGTCATCAGTCAGAATCCTTGATAACTGACACACTGGTCATATGATGGTGCTGTACTGCTCTGGTGACAGTATGTAAATAAAAAAAAAATTGTGAAAAAAAAAACTAATTTTTCTTTTAATTCGTCATTTTTAAAAAAAATTGTGACAAAAATATTAAAACTTAAAAAAACTCACTATGCCTCTTAGTAAAGTGGTTCTAAAGGCTCAAGGTTTTGTACCTTCATGCATTCTATGTGTGCAGTGACCCCCCCAACCCCCTCCCATCCTTACCTCAGCCCCCTCCGATCTATGGACATTCTTAACAGCCTCTGATATCTGGGGACTCTTCCTCCTCATTGGCTGAGACAGCAATGGGAGCCCATTGGCCAGTGAGCCAATGAGGAGAGAGAAGGGGTGGGGTTTAGGCTGCTTCTCTATATGTCTTATGGATGCATAGAGTAGCAGCTTAGAGATGAGCAGGCAGAGGTGGCCAGCGGCTTTCCCTGGGGGCACTGCTCATGGAGGAGGAGCCAGGAGTGCCCGAGGGGAC